ATGAAACTGAGTTATTTCATTTGTTCTTTTAGTGGAAAGGACCAGTTACTACCTAGCCAACACGAAGGTGAAAGACTATGTCAATTACTTCCTAACTGTGAACTCCGTAAATTTGATGATAGTGGCCATTTCTTATTCCTGGTATTCTTTTCTCCTTTTCTTTTTTTTTTCTTCTGCTGGCATGCTTCTTGTTAAGTTTCCATCCAGGAATGCACCGTGATCTTATTCTTCTTATACAAATGAATCAAACCAGTATGAGTTTAACTCTTTGGGGCCTTTGCAGAAAGGCAACCTTGACCTAGTAACAATAATCAAGGAAACTTCATACTACCGGCGTGGCAAGTATCATGACTATGCTTCAGATTTCATACCGCCTACACGAGATGAGGTCAATAAAATAATAGAATCATACAGGTAAAACTTACTGAATAAATTTGACTATTTAAGCTATTAACACAAAGCAAGAGAATTCATATTATATAAACATGGAAGAGGCAGGGAAAACTTAACCTGCAGCTACCATGATGAGTTGTTTGATATTGATGTCTTGATGACATTGTATGCGTGTCAATTCATATTTGTTTATTCTTGATAATTTAATTGATCTGCAATCAACTAATAGCATTTAACACCTTTCAATTATAATGCTTCCAGTTTGTTTAACTTCATCACTAGCTTTGTAATGCTTTCAACTTTGGAGGATGGAAAGATTGTAAAGGGCCATGCTGGAATTCCTTCTGAGGGGCCTGTTTTGTTAGTTGGGAATCACATGCTACTAGCATTGGACAAATTTTCCTTGTTAAATCGAACTTATACTAAACGAGACATCACTGTTCGAGGAATGGCACATCCCTTTATGTTTAGGAGACTGAAAAGTGGAAGATTGCCAAAAGTATCTTTTTTTGACTGGTTAAGAGTTATGGGTATTGTTCCTATAATGGCGACTAACCTTTTCAAGCTATTTTCTTCCAAGTCGCATGTCCTATTATTTCCTGGAGGGTTTCACAAGGCTTTTCATAGGAAGGTAAATCCATTAAGTTGACTCTTTATTTTGAGTTTGATCTTTCTAAATGAATCTGGTTTTGCTCAGCCGACTTTATTTGAAGTCTTTGACTTGTTCTTCTTGAACAGTTGTAACTAAATGCAATCAGCTGGTTAGGAAGTTTCGATAGGGCCTGTTATTTATATGAATTGAATGAGTTATCAATTATAAATTATACCTTATAACCTGTTATTTTATAATTCATTTAAGGGTAAAATGAAATATAATTCATGAATTGTCGTAGGTCTTGGATGAGCTGGAGAAAAAGAATATTACTTTCCCAGCATAATCATAAAATTGCACCAAATGCTTGGTGTTTAATATCACATGTGGGATCTGTCAAAAAAATAAAAAATAAAACCACATGTTCGAAGTTAATGCACCATTTACTTGCATACTGTCTGTCTGGTGCATCTGGCTTGTGACAAAATCGTACCTTTTGGTTCTGTTGGAGAAGATGATCTTGGTCAAGTAAGTATTTGTATTTAATCAGCCAATGGTTTTCCTTTACAAAGTAATTATTTTTCTCAAAATGCTGGCATTGAAGGCAAACCCTTTTCCAATTTTTATGGGAAGCATAATTCTACTATAGTTTCTTACTCAGTAAGTTATTATGAATTGTACGATTGGGTTCTGTCACCTCACCATTTTATAGCAACTCTTTGAAAAAAGTCACAGTTTATCTTCTATCTCGTGAAAATCTATCTGGAACTATGAAGAATTTGTGTACTGTAACACTCACCTTTTCTACCAATGTCAGAAGTTATCTATGGCCGTAGCAGTAGTTGAAAATTTTTATAAGCTAAACTAGCTCGTAGAAGTTTCATGAAAGAAACGTGTATTTGATTACTAACTTATAGAGATCGTATAAGTTTACAGTTGCATATGGAGAAATTGGAAAAATGTCAAGTCTAACTTATGCAAAAAGTTATAGTTTAGTTATGATAGTATAAATGTTTCAACTTTTATTCTCCTATAAGGATTGCTTGTTGAGAGTTTATTTACATTGACTAATAGCCTTACTTTCTATGAGACAAAAAGCAAAGACCACTAGATTCATGAGGAATACTACCAACAGTGTTGTCGAGTAGTGGCACCATAGCACTATATATAAAAAAACGGCTATTGTTCCCTACTACACGATGAAGTAATAACTACTATAGCAGCACTATACACTGGAATTTCAAAGAACATCTATTTCATATGATAAGAAATAAACAATACTTAGAATTATAAATATACTAAGCAGTAGATGAAGAAAAATACCCTCTTCTTTTTCCTCTATCCCTCTGATGATTTGAGATTTAGCTTCTTCAAAAATGAGAGGCTCATAGGTAGAAATATAATCATCCACATCTTTGTAGTTGTCTTTCAACTTCTCAAGTTTCAGAGCTGATCCCTTAGTTTTTAATTGTGTTTCTGTAAAACAGAAGTATCAAAGATGAATTTGGGAGTGAA